ACTGTTACAAATCAAAGACAAAGAGAGAATCTTGAAAGCAGCAATAGAAAAATAACTTATCATGTACAAGGGATCCTCACAGATTTCTCATCAGAAATCTTGCAGACAAGAAATCAGTGCAATGATATATTTAACATGCTGAAAGAAAAAAGCTGTCAATCAAGAATACTATATCCAGCAAAACTCTCCTTCAAAATGAAGGAGAAATTAAGACCTTCCTGGATAAACAAATCTGAGGGAGTGCATTACCACTAGGATTGCCCTGCAAGAAATGCCAAAGGGGGTACTTCAAGTTGAAATGAAAGTACATTGGACAGTAACTGAAAGCCATATGAAAGTATAAAGTTCTCTAGTAAAGATAAATATATAGTAAAATATACAAACCAGCATTATTGTATTTGGTTTGTAATTCCATAGAATTTTATTCTCCCATAGAGTTTAAAAGATAAAAACATTAAAAAATAATTATAGGTCTATGTTAATAGGTTCACAATATATAAAGATGTAATTTGTGATATTATTACCATAAGTATAGAGCTATAAAGGAATAGAGTTTCTGCATGTGTTTGAATTTAGTACTAGTTTAATATAGATTATTATAACTTTAGGATGCTATGTGTAATTCCCATGGAAACCATAAAGAAAATATCTATAGAATATACACAAAAGGAAATGAGACTGGAATCCAAACATATCACTACAAAAGATCAAGTAAACACGTACATAAGCAGTAATGGAGGAAATGAGGGATAAAAAAGCTGTAAAACATACAGAAAACAATTAGCAAAATGGCAATAGTAAGTCATTCCCTATCAGCAATTATTTTAAATATAAATGGATTAAACACCACAGTCAAGAGACACAGATTGGCAGAATAGATTTTTTAATATTTTAAGAAAACAGAATCTAACTATAGTTGTCTACAAGACATTCCCTTTAGATCTGACTATACATGTAGGTTGAAAGTGAATGGATGGAAAAAGATATTCTATGTAAATAGTAACCAAAAGAGATCAAGTGTGGCTATACTAATCTCAAACAAAATAAACTTTAAGTTGAAAACATTCACATGAGGTAAAGGAGGATATTATATAATGATAAAATGGTCAATTCACCAGGAAGATATAACAATTATAAACATATAAGAACAAAATATCAGAGGCCCTAAATATGTGAGTCAAACACTAAAAGAACAGAAGGGAGAAATAGACAATTCTATGATAAGAAGAGGAGACTTCGATCCCTCACTTTCAATAATGGATAGAATAATCAGAGAGAAGATGAATAAGGAAATAGAAAACTTAAACTTGAACACTATAGAACAATTGGACCTAACAGACATATACAAAACACTACATCCAACATCAGAATACATATTTTTCTCAAGTAACACATGGAACATTCTCCAGCATAAACCATATGTTAGTCCATAAAACAAGTCTTAAAATATTTTAAAATATTGAAATGATTAACAGACATATACAAAACACTACATCCAACATCAGAATACATATTTTTCTCAAGTAACACACGGAACATTCTCCAGCATAAACCATATGTTAGTCCATAAAACAAGTCTTAAAATATTTTAAAATATTGAAATGACACACAGTATCTTTTCTGATCACAATGGAATGAAATTAGAAATCAACAGCAGGAAAAACTTAGAAAATTCACACCTGTGTGGAAACTAAACCATAAACTATTAAACAACCAATGGATCTGTCTTAGTCCATTTATGCTGTTATATCAAAAATATCATAGACTGTGTAGCTTATACAACAAGCATATGTTTCTGTAGGGAAGTCCAAGATCAGGATGCCTGAAGATTCAATGCCTAATAAGGGCCTACTTCCTGATTCATAGACTACCATCTTCTCACTTCTTACATTAAACTTAAAGGCTTGGGAAAAATCTTCCTGCACTCAATGCTCTACCTTCTAGGCCCACTGGGGGGGGCAGCATCACCCCACTGCTTTATAGGAAGGTTCTAAATCCTGCTGTTCTAAATGCTTCTATTCTGTTGTTGTATCCTCACATAGCAGAAAACAGCAAGGGAGATCTCTGGGTCCCTTTTATAAGGACACTAATCCCATTTATAAGAGCAGTCCACTTCCTACTACCATCATATTGGGGGTTAGGATTTTAACTATGAATATAAAGGGGACACAAATACTCAATCCATATCAGTTCAAAGAAGAAATCACAAAAGAAATTTTAAAATGTCTTGGGACAAATGAAAATGAAAACACTACATACCAAAACATGTGGGATGTAGCAAAATCAATGAAGAGGGAAAATCTAGAGCTTTAAACATTTACACTAAAAAGGGAAAAAAATTCAAATCAAAAATGTAACTTTACACTTTTACAAACTACAAAAAATAAATAAATAAACCCAAAGTTAGCACAAGAAAGGAAGTAATAAAGATTAGAGCAGAAATAAATGAAGCAGAAAAGAAAAACAATACAGGAAAAGCAATAAAACCGTGAGTGGGTTCTTCAAAAAGAGCAACAAAATTGACAAATTGTTAGCGAGATTGACTAAGGGAAAAAGAGAGGAGACTCAAATAACTTAAATCAGAAATGAAAGAGAAGTTACTACTGATTTTATAGAAGTAAGATGGATTGTTTCTGTACACCAATAAGGAATAAATTTAACCAAGGAGATGAAAAATCTGTACACTGAAGACTATAAATATTGATGAAAGAAATTGAAGAAGACACAAATATGTGGAAAGCTATCCCATGTTCATGGATTAGAGAAATGAATGTTGTTTAAATGTCCATGCTATCTGTGATGGTTAATTCTAGGTATCAACTTGATTAGATTAAGGGATACTGAGAATCCTGGTAAAGCTATCTGTTTAGGTGTGTCCATGAGGGTGTGTCCAGAAGAGCTTAGTATGAGACCTTAAGTGCACTGGGTGGGAAAGATTTGCCCTCAATATGGGCAGGAACTGTCCGATCTTCTGGGGTTCCAGAGAGAACAAAAACAGAGAAAAGAGAATTTCTCTCTCTCTATTTGCTGGAGCTGGGATACACTCTGCTTTCCT